CAGTACCATCAACTAACAGGCTGGGAAGAGAAGGGTCCAGCCAGGAAAACTGAGTGAGGAGCAAGCAATAGGGTGGGGCATTGGAGGCAGTGGTATACCAGAAGTCAAGCAGCAAGGTAGTCAGTGAACAATGAGTGTGAGGAGGACACAGCAACAGACACTGGCTGTGATAAAGCAGAGATCATTGTGACCTCAATGAGCACACCTCCAGTTAAGTGAAACCAGGAGTTCTCAAGAGGAGGAGGAGAGGCAGTCGTGAGAATGGCTAACAGACCACTATAGGATAGCGCAGAGAAATAAGAGTTGATGGAGAGTTGATCCTAATGTAAAGGACTCGAGGGAGGGAGGGGGCACAGTCAGAGAAAAGCCAATTGTAGGATCAAAGAACCAGAAGACGTTAGCTAGGTAGCCCGCCAACATACAGGCTGAGGAAAGCATGGGAATAGGGCAGTGCATCCATCCTTAACAGGATAAGAGACATGATATGGCAGATTCCGGGAGTGGGCTAATTCCGGGGAAGAAAATATGAAGACCCTTCTGCACTCTTCTGTTGTCACTGAAATAAAAAGCAAAGCCATCAGCTGAGGGTGCAAAGGGAGGGAGGCCATATTAGGGTTGAGAAAGAAAGCGCTATCCACCTTCCTGGGATACTTGCTGAGTGGATGGACTGGGGAAGGGCAAAGAGCACGATTGCACCCCGTGACATGAATGAGATTGGAGGGCACAATGCTCAGCGAAGGCGGTCCACCTTGTAACGTATTTTATGACACCACTATTCTGAAGGAAGAAAGGAAATAAAAATGGTTTTCACACCCAACGAAAACTGAAGACCACTACTTGGCAAGAAGTGGGGGGATGGGGGGAGAGGAGAACAGAAACAAGGAAGGGGGGTGGGTGGGAAAAGAAGAAGAACCACATGGAGGGGGGCAGGTGGGGTGATTTTTTTAAACCATTTTATTGGGGGCTCATACAACTCTTATCATAATCCATACACACATCCATTATGTCAAGCACATTTGTACATTTGTTGCCATTATCATTCTCAAAACATTTGCTTTCTATTTGAGCCCTTGGTTTCAGCTCATTTTTCCCCTCCTTCCTGCTCTCCCTTCCCTCATGAACTCTTGATAATTTATAAATTATTATTTTGTTATGTCCTACACTGTCCGACGTCTCCCTTCATCTACTTTTCTGTTGTCTGTCCCCAGGGAAGAGTTATATGTAGATCCTTATAATCGGTTCCCCCTTTCTACCCCATCTTCCCTCTACCCTCCCAGTATCACCACTCTCACACTGGTCCTGAAGGGATCATTTGTCCTGGATTCCCTGTGTTTCCAGTTCCTATCTGTACCAGTGTACATCCTCTGGTCTAGCCAGATTTGTAAGGTAGAATTGGGATCATGATAGTGGGGGTGAGGAAGCATTTAGGAACTAGAGGAAAGTTGTATGTTTCATCGTTGCTACACTACACCCTGACTGGCTCGTCTCCTCCCCGAGAACCTTCTGTAAAGGGATGTCCAGTTGTCTACATATGGGCTTTGGGTCCACACTCCCCCTCATTCACAATAATATGATTTTTTGTTCTTTGATGCCTGATCCCTGATCCCTTTGACACCATGATCACACAGGCTGGTGTGCTTCATGTGGGCTTTGTTGCTTCTGAGCTAGATGACCGCTTGTTTACCTTCAAGCCTTTAAGACCCCAGACGTTATAGCTTTTGATAGCCAAGCACCATCAGCTTTCTTCACCACATTTGCTTATGCACCCAATTTGTCTTCAGTGATCTTGCCGGGAAGGTGAGCATCATAGAATGCCAGATTAATAGAACAAAGTATTCTTGCATTGAGGGAGTACTTGAGTGGAGGCCCAATGTCCATCTGCGACCTTAATACTAAACCTATAAATATATGCACATAGATCTATTTCTACATCATCATATAGAAATATATTTACATATGTACATGCCTGTCTTTAGACCTCTTATAAATGCCCTTTGCCTCCTAGTTCTTTCCTCTAGTTCCTTTTACTTTCCTCTTGTAGGTGTGATTTAATGGGATACTGTCACTGTTTTGATGCAATGGTCTGTGCACCTCCATAGAGTATGTTTTTCTTTGTAATACAGGTAAGTTATACACATGTGCTATAATCCACGAATAAAAGGGGGAAGTAATAAAACTGAATGAAACTAAACAAAATTTTAAAGAGATAAGAAAAATGGAAGGGGCACAACCTTACAAACCTTCCAGATTCCTTATCCCCCAAACCTAAACACTGGTCTGAGTGGCTAGGAAAGGAGAAAACATTAAACAGAAACTAACAACTTCGTTTGTGACACACAGCTAGTTTCAAGCAAACAAATTACATGGAGAGAAGCAAGTGAGTTAAGAATATTTGCAAGGCAGTGAATCCAATAGTGGACCTGTCAAGACAAGCAGAGAGAGAGAAGAGGATATAAGACAGTGATATATAATTTAAAAGGAAATAGGATCAATGTATTAGAGGTCCCTTTGAGGCTGGAGAATTGAGAGACGGGTACAAGGAGTACACTGGAAAGATATACCAGAAATGAGAATGCTCATAAAAAGAGACTTTGGAAATGGTACAGCAAGAGATATTGTTGAGGGCTAGGATAACATTTGCTCAAGATGGGGTGGACAACACCATTGTTCTCAGTGAATAGGTCAAAGGAGTGAGAAAGTCAGGTGGAACATCCAAGGAGCTATGGAAATCTCCATGCATGATGCCAGGTGGCTGCAGTGAAATGGGGCAGGGAGGAAGTCAAACAAAGTGGACTGAGGACAGAGTAAGAGGCGAGGAAATGGAGCTCATGAGCATAAACAACCCCTGTGACAAGTCTGGTAGTGAAGGAGAACAGAAAAATGGTGGGCCTGTGGGAGGAAGAGAGGTCTTAGAAAGATATAAGGTTAAGAGTTTCTTCCAGGTGGAAGGTAGGTTACAGAGGTCATGGCACCCATTCATTTGAAAGGGAGAGATTGGTGCTTTAGGAACAAAGTTCTTCAGGACCCAAGAGCAGAACCCAAAGAATAAGCATAAGATATTAATTTTCCTAAGAGGAGGCATAATTTCTCCTTGAGTCTGAGAAAGGGCAGAATCCAGTGGGGCAGGGGCATGTAAGGTATTGGTTGGTGGTATAAAAATCAGAGAGCGTATGGCTGATTGTTTCTATTTTCTCATATAAAGTTTTCAGCTGGATGGGGGTGGAAGATTCAACCACTACTGAAGTGTAGGGAAAAAAGCATTTAGGCATTTCAGAGCTTGGGAAAACGATTTTACTTGGGGACTGAAATTGGGTTTGCTAGGAGTGTTGAATGACTACTTACAATTAGTGGTCCTGAATTTAAGTGAAACCAGTCAATACGAGTGTCTGCTTTTATACAGCAAGAGCCTGCTGCTGAGATGTCAGCGAGTAGACAGATGGTGAGTTTAGCCAAGGTTGGAGTTTTGCCAAGAGGTCTATGAGGGATAACCCAGAGCCAATGGGGTGATGGAGCATGTTATCAATAAGAAGGAAAATGATGAGACCATAGAATCAAGACTGGGTAAAGGGGCAGCCAGAGAAAACATGAGGTACAAAGTGGGCATCAGAGGCCCACTCTGGATGAAGACTTGTTTGGGGATAGAGTCATAAGTGAGGGGTCATACATTTATGATGTGTGATGTGTTTATACCCAAGTCCCAGCAGCCCTGTGACCTCATGAACTCCGTGAGGACTGAGCTAGGAGTAGGCACTTGCATACTTAGGTACCCTCTGAATATGTGTACAGTGGATGTGTTTCTGCAACTTTAGCAATGTGACAGCTAGCAATTATTGAGCGCAGACTATGGGCCTCCAGGGCTTTGAGGAGAAGGCTGTTCGAAGTGGCAACACATAGGGATGCA